TTTGAAAAGAAGCCATTTTAAAAGGTTTTAAATGTGGTATCTATCCGGATATGTCATTAAATGTTATGTGTCACTTGAGATAAATCTTTTTTTCAAAGACAAATCAAATTAAATTTATTATTTCTAATTGAAATAATTATAAAAAATAACTTTGCGTGAGTTTTTTTTGTGTGTTTTTTTTTGGCTCAGCCAATTTTGGGATTCAGTCAATTCGGATTTATTGGCAACCTATATATAAGCAATGCATTCTGGATTAACTATTAAAACATCATATATCGACATTGAAAACGTTTGTTCTGATTGAGAAAAAAAAAAACATTATATAACGTCGGTGTTATTATATCAATAGATTGACTAGATGTAAAGGACAGAAATTATCGGTAGATAAAATAGAACAAATCGTTGCTTTCGTTAAAGTAAAAACTTATCGAAATGTTAAATTGATAAACCAATAGCTGTTCTTGTTCAGGTTTAACAACTTAATGATAAAATAATGTCTAAAGGATTTTGCATACACAGAGGAGTTTGTGTTCTACTCATTTGTTTAGGTAAGTTTGAGGGTAATACTTCAAGGGAAAGTTTTATTGTTATTTATCATGCAATCAGCAAATGATTTAAATATGACAAGTCTAGAAATGACTTTTATAAGTAATTTGTAAAACATCGGTACGATTACTGTAAAAAGCAATCGATTAATAATTTATAAGGTTTTTTTTAATCGATTATTAAGTGATTGTTGAATGTAATCGATTATAATATGTAACTTTCTAAAAATTAATAAGATTGCATTTCTATTACTTTTAATTGCATGTTATAAAGTAATTAGATAATTTAACCTAATAAAGCCAATATTATTAACGGACATTTCAAACTCTAAATTACGGGTATGGAATTATCATTGTCATTGTATAAATTCCACATTAAAAGGTTATGGAACAGTCAATGTGTTAAAATATATATCCTAGGTCAATAATATGTTAGTTTTTTTTAATTAATAAAACTTTATTAAAAAGCAAAACCGAATCTGCATGTTATTGATTTAAACTTTTTGATTATCTGCTTGGAAAAACAAGAGGTATTTCCAAATAATTTATTCACTCTTATCATAGACAAAACAAATAGGCATAACTAAATTGTAGTACCCTACACCTAAGACATGTTAACTTGTCTTAGATACTTCTGACAGTTAAACTTTAACTGCAGATAATAAAAGTAGCCAATTGTTTAATTAGCCTTGCGTCATTAACTTTCTCTGTACACAAATCAACAGTACTAAAGCCAAATCAACTAGAGGTCATTTTTTACAAATCATAAAAATATTTCATTGCCTCCCTCTTTGAAAAATATGTGTCTCACATATAAAAACAAACAAAACTTTAACTAATTAAAGTGTGGAAGACCACTATTAAAAAAAAAATATGTAACAAAATGTACATGGAAAAATCAAAATGTATCAAAAACAAATTTACACTCTGGCACAAATAAACACTTGAATAATAAAATGCTTCAAATTATTCAATCATAATAAAGGCAAGCAATCTTCACGTCAATGTTCATTTCAATTATCATAGTTTATAAACTTCAAGAAAAATTCTAATCAGGTACGAATCTGTTAGGTGGACGCTTTTCACTATGTCTACGACTGTATTCAATACTGTCAATTAGAAAACTAAACATATCGCACTGTTTATTTTGACTCAATTCAATGTCAGACTCAATGTTGTTGTTTTTTTAATTTTGCGGTAGCATGAGACTCGGTTTCTTTTTGAATTACAGTTTTAATTAGCCAATTGTCAAAGTCTCCAATGATGAATTTTAGTCTGTTGTGATGAACAACACGAACAACTCTGGTTTTGCTGATTCTGACGTTTCAATGCGATATACCAAGTCACTTATACTGTTTGTATATAAACTAGATAAAGGTTTTGGAATATATTCGTTTTACGATCCTAGAAAACAAATATAGACTCGGTGAATATGGTTACTGCTTCACATGTTGCTGAAATTAATTTTTGATAGGTTCCTTACCAGACTTATCTTTTACGTTCAATTATCGAATCGGAACGACCTCTGATGATTAATTAAGTACCGTTTTATCGCCGACTGGAGCAAATATTTCTCTACAAAATTATCCGACGCTACTAACATGCTGCATTATGGAGCATAATCAATATCAATAACTTTAACCAAAATAAACTGCTGGACACCCGGCGGAATAACTGTTGTCTCATAATTTAAATTTTTTTTAGATTTTTTTAAATCTTCAATATCGTACACAGTGAGTTCCCGAAAAAATCTTCAAGACAATTTATTTAATGAAACTATCTACAATAAACTTTTCCGGCCAGAAAACACAGTAACTGTAGAAGCAAAATACAAATTGCAGTATGTCACTTCAGTGGTGAGTTTTACCATGTTTTGATTTCGCCTATTTTAAAGGTAAGATTACCAATAACACATTACTTGAATGCCAAGAAAAATCGAGCATCAACAACACATAAACATGATAAAGACAATTGTTAATAGATTCGAACAGTGGTGTTATATGAGTAGTATTTGTTATATGCTAAACTTAAAATAAAGAGATGTGGTATGATTATCAATAAGACAATTAAGCAATGCACGATTACAGACGTCAATTAACGACAAACACTGACGATATGGAATGTTCCTGCACATACAAATGGGGCGAGTTAAATAGTACATGGAAAGCTATATGAAATATTACTCAATCCGGTAAAATGTCACACTTATCCGGCAGTTGTCAGAGTTTTGTTTACACCTGATGTGGTATTACATATTTAATAGTTTTTATAAGGCTATATTTGGTTTCAAATGACTGGATTATCGATGCCGATTGAAAACATATGTGGTTTTGTTTTTTTTTTATTGTAAAATGGCAAAATGGCTACTTCCGGTTTACTAAAGATCACCTTCGGGTCACATTTTTCAATCACCATTTTGCAAACGACCTTATATCATATTTTATATTGAAATATAATTCAATTGAACTTACATCAAATCTTTTCAGGTGCAATTACTCCTTAAAGATGTCGTTGGATTTTTTCAGAGCAAGTGTATCATAGCATCATCACAATAAAAAAAACCATCTTGCATACGTTGTTTTATATCTATCTTAAAAAGTGTCAGAGGAGATGCAAGAACTTGCAAAAATCACAATATAGAACATGAAAATTACCTATATTTGTAAGTTAAGACCCAAAATTTTTTTGGTAAAGGTAAATAACTCCTATTAAAAGTCACAATGTGCCTAAGTCGCCGATTGGTCAAAGAAATCAAACTACAATCTAACTAGCCAGTCAAACACTGACGTTGATAGTTCCAATCCCGGCCGCACAGGTGCACTCGACTCTAATCTTAATTAACTAGAAGTTTCTACCGAAAGTCGACGGTTCTCTCAAAGCACTACATCTCCCTCAATCAATACAAATTGCCACGAACTAACAGTGTTGAAAGTAGCATTAAACACCAAACAAGCAATCAAGCAATAGAAGGAGTCACGATCCATATCAACCAAATATATCTAATTAAGAGCCAAATATTTTTTGAAATATGTTAATGCTTTATGATTTAGTGGCAGGATAGTATAGCGGTTTTTTTTAAAGTTTTCCCCCATTTTATGCCACAGACTGTTGATCTGTTGATCCTTTTTTTAATTTATTTATTTTAGGATATAAAGAAACAGATAATATCAACAACAGGATTGTTCAGCTTGGTAAATATATATTCTCGTTCAAATATCTTTAAATTGATCAAAAGTGAAGATCAGTTTAGAACTTATTTTGAATTACCAAAGAAATGTCTTCAAGATAATAAAATCTCAATTGTATATGGTCATTACAGATTTCGGTAGGAGACAGCTAAAACTAATTTTGTTTGTTGAATCTTCCCTAAAGAATTGAATTGACTATATAAAATGAGTTCTTTGAATGTCGCGCATTGGTCTAAAGTTGTTTCTCTGCATGCCATTTTGACTCCGGTGCATAGTTGTGTCATTAACAATCATATCTAAACCCGTATTTCAATAGTGATGACTTTATCGTCATTTTAGTAATCAGATGTGCATAATATTATACCGAATTTTAAGCGTCAATATAGAAAATAATCCTATTTGAAATGACTTTTCTTAACAACATTGCCATAATCCTTATAAGGTTGAAAGCGCCAGAGAAAGAAAACTCGTTGTGGTATGACATTTTAAGACGGAATTATTATCGATTGCATGGCCTGTATTAAATCATCATTATACAATCATGAAGTTAAACATTTACTGTGCAATACATTTTCAGTTTTGGGAAGATAGCCGATTGGCCTGGGACAAATCTTCCTATGGAAATATTGAATATATATACGTACCCGAAGACTTAGTTTGGCACCCCGACTTGATTGTGTTGAATTCGTACGTATTTTAAACAAATTTTCTTTATTACCATTAAACATTTGAAATAAATGTTTTTCATATAAAGTTGCCTGTATATTTCGAGATAACAAATATATATATATTGACATGATATATTATAAGACAATGTATAAATATCTTCTTTTACGTCTTCAACTATAAACATTTACAATTCATACATAAAAAGTTTTAACGTTTACTTTTCTTGTACTTCCTTGCATAACAAACTTACTTAGTAATTTTATAATTTCAATTTAGTATTATTGAATTAGAGAACAAATTGGGTGCTGGAAGAACAATCCGAATATCAAATAATGGACACTTACGATGGGAACCAATCGCTGTGTTGTCCACGGCATGTGCAATGATTCTTGCGTGGTTCCCATTTGACAGTCAAAGATGTTTCTTGAACTTAGCTAGCTTGGATCACTCTTCAAACGAAGTCTATTTGATATTTGATCCCACCGCAATAGATACAAGTTTACATGACACACAAGCAGATTGGGAGCTTGTAGAAACACATCATTATTATTATAATATATTGGATGATGGAGTGGCGTATCCGGTACTTCAGTTCGGAATTACTGTTAAAAGGCTTCCTCTTCATTACATTTTAATTGTTATATTACCGACAATTCTTACTGCAGTATTAACGTTTATTGCATTTTTTCTACCGCTGAAATCTGGAACCAGACTTGGATATATTGTTACAGTGGTACTGGCTTTAGTGGTATTATTGACATTATTTGCAGACACAATCCCTTCTGCTGCAAAATTTCCTTCAATTCTAGGTAAATTTACAGTTTCTTTCGTTTTCATTAATAATGAATCATTGTTTTATATCATTCTTCTGATGCTTTATAAATTGTGACAAAGAACGCAAGTGTTATATACAGGCTGTGTGATCTAGTTGATCGAACCAATGACTCGCTTGTACATAATGATAATGTTTCCGATATTTATTAAAATGTCTATTATTGTGTAAGATAAATACTTTTCTCTAATTGTTAGCCAAATTAATCCTTTCTGAACCCAAATTTAATCAACGTGTAGTTGTCGGTGATCTAAGAAGATGATTGAATGAATTTTGGGGTCATAACTTTTATCAGCTTACTGAAGGAATCAAAATATGCTAATATGTTAATGAAATTGACAACTTTTTGGAATGTGGAAGGTACTCGAAGAAGAATTCATTTTTCAATCATTAGAGAAACAGATTCTTACATAGTTACGCGTGGATTATCGGATTCATCCAATCTTGATAATTAAATTGTAAATTTTAAAGTTCCCGCCAAGGCTCGGACTTTAAAATTGATAATTTAACTATCTGAATTGGATACATCCGATTTTCCACTGGTCTCAATGTAAGAAGCTATATTTAGAGTGTTGATGACTGATTATTTGAAAGCTGTTATAAAGCAAATATATATTTATGAATATCTACTATCATAATACATTCCGAACAATGCAGTTAACCTACTTTAAAAACTTAAGGTAAAAGAAAAAAAAAGGCATTTAAGGTTCATTCATAAAAGAATCATTATCTATGTTTTTCTTTTGTAGTGGCAGTATTTACGGTAACATTAGGAATGGCCTTTCTTTTGATTGTCATAACGATATTTGTCATGAGACTTTACAATAAACCAAAACGCGACGTTGCTCCAAAATGGATGCACTCCATGGTAAGTAAGATTCGGAGGTTAAAAGTAAAATTAAAGTTAAAGTTAAAGTGCAGAGCAAGAAAAATAAAACATCTTGAACAAAATAAGGCTATAGAAGATGACCGACCGACAGAAGACATCGACAGCGTAGAGAAAAGTACGCCATTAAAACCATACAGCAACCAAGAGCTGGCAGAATTCTTTGACAATTTTTTGTTTGTTGCTTTTACAGTTTTATATATTTTGATTCTTGCAAGTGCACCAGTTGTAGCGATCATATGGAGAAATAATTCTATAGCAAACTAGTGTCGTTATGGCACATTTTAATTTTGTGTTTCGGTCATCATACATCCATTCAACCACTTAGTTTTTGTATATGTTGCTTCACCAATAATCATGTGTATTAAGTATTAATTCGTACATTTTTAACAGATTTATATAGGTACAACACAATAGTACACATAGATTATTGGTTCTTCAATATTTTAAATGGTTATCTCTCTACGGGCATGACGAATTTAACTGTCAAAAATGTACTGATCGCCATTGAAAGTATGTAACAGAAACATGAATTATCAAGTATTATGTCATCTTTTGTATTCTTGAATTTTGTTTAATATTGTTCAAATTTGTTATTTGCCCAAAATGTGCTTCTAAAGCAATTAAATTGGTACCGTTTATTGTTTTATTTTGGTCTACCAAGCTTTTAATATCTTATTACACTGTATATGTGTTGCTAATTGTTGCTTATTTATATTCTCGTTAAAACTCTAATTGACATGTTCCCAGTACTAACAATCATACTACTACTTATGTTTATGTAATGTTTATTGTCAAATTTAATATTTCGGGATCATATGCTAGACACGATATATAAATTCGCAGCCCGTTATTGAATTGTTTATTGTTTTTTTTTTAATTTGTTGTATATATTCTATTTTTCTAATAGTGCTTTCTTATGATTAGATATTTAACACTGATTAAATAAAAAAAGAACATATCTTCAACAAAAAAAGATATAATGTCAAGGTGAAACGTTCAACTGCAGCAGACTCGGTAGATAGTATAACTATAATACAAAATATTTATTGTAAAAAGTTTAGAACTTTCCAAATACTTTATTTGTATTTGAAAGGATTTATTGAAATTCACAGGTTTAGACAGAAGTAAAGGGGACAGCTGCCTTTCCCGACACTAGAAAGCAAATGGAAAGCAAAGGTGTAATAATTGTATAACATTAATAGTCTTTTTACTGTTTTTATTAATTACCATTTTGAGCTTGTATTTTTAGCTGAAATAAAATGCTTTGGCCACGATTTTGTTTTTTACTTTGTTTTTTGCTTCTGAACCATCTAAGGTCGACACGGAAAACGTACGACGCAGATAAGAAAACATCAATGAAAAATATCAGATGTTTTACAGAGGAGAAGGTCCGGTAAGGGCCGATTTTGGCCTCAAATTTCAGGTTCATCTGATGAAAGATTTTGGACACTTTTCAAACACTTAAGTGTCCAGTTCAGTCGATTCAATTAGTTCATGTGGAAGATTTTAACTGATTTAGTCATTTAAGACGCTCAAATTCAAGCTTAAATATGACAAAATCTATAAAATAAGCCATAATATATCACTTTTCAGATGGTTTTTGTCAAAAATGAAAGAGGTCGCATCCGTGTTCACTCTCAACCTTTATGTATGTTATGTATTATCATCAAATACAACTTACATTTAGATATTTAGAATGAACACAAATGCGGCCACTTCCATTTAAGACGAAAACCGTCTAAAATTTAACTCAAATGCTAAAATTGTGAAGATTTCAGTAATTTAGCATGACTTAATAATGCTAGTACCCGATATATGTGCATTGTATTGTCAAAAACAGCCTATATTTATGTAGCAGAAGTATTCTACTTTCCAATAAATAGCTAAAAGTTTACATTTTAAAAATTTTGTAAAACTGCTATATTTTGGGGCCAAAAATGGGTCTTACCTTTGTGTGGATTTTCTTGCTAATATGGAATATATTAGAATAACAATGTAAAACAGTGTATAGATATGCAACAGATTTTCCGACCTACATTATATAATTCCTGATAATACAATCATTTGTTTTTGATTCATCATACATATTTTATATAAGTCTTTTTTTTCTTGTAATCGTTTTGCAACTGAACTATCTTCTTTCGAAACTGAAATTGTAGGATGCAGATTGTAAATATTAATGTGTGAGATCAGATTTATATCAATTTCGTGATGGTTTTTTGTGTAGAAAAGGAACTATCTTATAAAGAAAAACAATGCAACTGTGTTGGAATCAGCATTAACATTATATAAATGCTGAGGATATACATTGGAAATATGTGACTTTTTTTGGTATAACGCACAAATTAAATGCATTATTTTCTAAGTTTGATCATTTTACTTCTTGCTCTTCAAAAGAGGTCGATCATGCTCGTGTACTAATAGTGTATACAATCTGAATTCTTTTTGAGAAGTGACGCTTTAATAAAATCTACAAAAGCCCAATTTACTTTGCAAACATTAGCTATACTGTTCTAAGGCACGAATCATAAACACACGTAAAGAAAAAGCCCATTGGACATCGCAAATATTATTTGCAATATTCACACAAGACCAGCACAAAGAATTGTGCTACGTGCTAATTCGAAAGGTTATAGTTCACAGGAAGACAGGTCTTCCTACCTGGACATATTGTTCTGACTCCGAGCCAACCAATCTTTGTTCTTACTCTTAAATGCCCTTTTACATAGCTGAGAAACAGCAAACAAATATTTTTAAAGTCTTTTGTTCTATTCGATTGTCGATCTAACACGACCGTCTGCACTCGATGAGAGCACGATACGTTGAGACCACAAAAGGGGTTGATTAAAAAAGGAAGAAGTCAGAAACGAGAAAAAAAATTTTGATTACGACAATTGAAACTTAGGGCATTGTTCATTTGTTAAAAAAATATATATTCTGAACATAAAATTAATGCAAGGTATTGAAAATTTCCATTTCATACATTTGTTTCTTAAATAATATGATAAAAATTATAAAACTCAGGTACACAGTTAACATGGTAGTCAAGGAATTGTTTGCATTGTCGTTCAAATTATGCTTAAGAGGTATTAGACATTTACGAAAAATCCTTTTTATGTGTTATAATAAATACAAAAACAGGATGTGACTGACTAGACGATCTGAAAAATACTACATGTTACAATTCTATATTTTAAAGTTTCTGATCATTCTTCAACACAAAATTAAAGATTCATTTAACGAACGATTCCATGTTTAATTGGATAAATTATTTACAAGGTATCTTCAAACTACTTTGAAGAGAAGATACTAGGAACGCAATCAAAAAGCAAATATCTGAGATATTCAGACAAAGTCATGGCAAAAAGAAGCAGTTCAAATAAACAACCGTATGTCCACAAAATACTACACGAAAAACTAAAAATTGAGACATACAAAACCGTGGGTCACTTTAAATTTTCCAGACTAATGAACATTTTCTGCTTGGCTTGTGATGAATGTTATCTGTAGAAAGAAAACATACATTGAAAATTAAAAAGCACAAATTATATATCTCAAAACTAAAGATTGAGCAACGCGATCTCATAACAAACCATATTTAGTGATTAAACGTTAATTCAGTTCCCGGGACAGCAAACAGTTCCTGTTCTACTAACGCCACCTGTTGATTTGGTCATGGCAAGTAAAAAGTTCGATAACTTCTAGACTTGGAAATGTCAAGAAAAAAAGTGGAACAATTAGACCAAATCCTCATGGCGTCCGTAAAACTGTATAAAGTACGATCATACTAATTTGTCATGAGGAATCCTTAATATTATGGCTTTCATGTAAGCAGCAAAATCCTCAATATAAAGAATTGGTGATATGAAAAACCAGTTCTAAATAACATATGAGATGTCAATTTTACTGCACAAGATGAGCGTAGCCATACTTATAAAGATGTCTCTTCATTGAAGAAATAGGATAAATATATTTGAACATTTATTGCTTTTTAGAAAATGAAAAAGCCGTTAAAACCACAAACAGTTTAGACAAAGCTAGGAAATGAATTAGAGATTTGCATGTGGGATATATATTTCGTTTTTTAAAATAATAAAATTGCCTTCTTTTTGTGTCATTACTAAAAGGTCCACACATGATAGACATGAACGAATAGGGACAGTCCGTATTGTGTGTCGCTAAATGTTTTATTCGGGTTTTCAAAATCTTTGGCACTTAGCATCCCTCGTAAAATTAAATCCAAAACAACCTTACGAGAGCATCTAATTGGTATATTTTTGATGCCGTCTTTACTACTACTGAATATTTTTCTATCCTACAACTTTTCACCGTACGATAACATTCATTTCTATCTCCTACGAGTGGTTTGTGATCAATTCAATCAGGACCAGTTTATTAAGATTTATAATAATGAGATGTGTCTTTTTATTGAAACTAATGTCCACCCGAGTCCACTTCGTGTCGGCGTAGGCAACTATAGGTCACCATACTGCCTTCGACCAGGTGAAAAACTCATACCGTTCAGACAACTATAAAACAGGATGCCGCAGGACTAATTGTTAAACTATAAAAGAAAAACCAGTCTAATGTATCAATATTTAACTATGGAGAACATCGATCTAATTTATATCGAAACACCTTTTGACAGTAACCAACAATCGTCAAATTACAGGCATCTACCTGGTGACAGGAACGTTAAGAGTGTGTCGAAATTAACCATGTTCGTGAATGCTCCAGATTATATATTCTCATAGACATATATATATATATATAATATATATATATGTCTATGAGAATATATAATCTGGAGCATTATATATATATGATCGTTTTAATTTATTTAAAGGATTTTTATGTCAAGATGTCATGTTTGCTTTTTCCTATGAAGTATCCCCAATTACTACTTTTTCTTGTTTCTACTTTCTTATACTTTTATTACTGGGAATGGAATGGGAAATACGACATGTATTGTGTAATTAACATTTAAACCTTTATATTTTAGTAAATATTCCTTAATAAAATCGAAAAAAACTGTATTACTGAAAGAAATAGGATTTAAGATCTTGTCTAAGACTTATTCGATATTAAACAATACCATGATGGTATGCCTGTACTTAAATGATTTATTGACTGCTTCATTTGTTGGATGAGCTATCAATAGAAACAAGAGAAAAACAGTTTAAAAACATAAGAAAACGTAGTGATTATCTACAGTTGTGAAACATAGAAATAACAATATACACGTACTACATTTAAAACATCAGAAGCCTCGGTGGTCGAGTGGTCTGAGTAGTTGAATAACTGTATCACTAGCCTGTCAACACTGATGTGAGTTCGAATCACGCACGTGGCAGGCGCACTCGACTCCAATCTTAATTAACTATGATTGTGAATTTTCCTACCGAAGGTCGGTGGTTCTCTCCGGACAATTCGGCTTCCTCCACGAATAAAAAATGACCGTCACTAAATAGTTCAATAGTGCTGAAAGTGGCGTTAATCACCAATCAATCAATCAATCAATCAATCAATCAATCTTAAACGGTTGCGTATGATGAATTCAAATTGCAGTTTGCGAGTTTCCTCTGTCAATAGTTGCGTTCAATACACTGAGTTTGACTCCTTTGAGATAGCGATTGCACACATTATTCTTTCACATAGGGTAAATGAAGTGGAGGTTAATACTATTCGCAAGCTTTAGTATCGTTCTGGTAAGCTTGCTTGTATCTCATATGTTACACTTGAAACTTTGCGTTCTGTTACCGATGTTAACATGATCTGTTATTTAACTTCTCGTCGGTTAAGTTAAATTAACATCCTTTACGACAGACAAAAAAACGCAGCTGATCTGCAAGATAAATACCATCTACTTGCAAGAATATTTCATGTAATGTGATGCAACACAAGACGACGTTGGTTACTGCGATATTTGGTGTCACGATATCTCAGTAGCATGAGTTCGAATCCCGGCGAGGGAAGAACAAATAATTTGCGAAAGCAAATTTACAGATCTAACATTGTTGTGCTGATGTTTAGACGAGTTGCATATATATATAGGGGTCTAAATACAGCACAGACAACATTTTCCAAAAGACCAAAATAGTGAAAAAGTATATTTTTAACAAAACGCATTTGACTAACAGGTTGAACAACGGATGTTCTTAAACCCTGCTGACTGCCAGTGGCGATTGCCAAATAAATTGATCACAAGTACAAAATGGATCTTAATATCAATTTAATACCAAACAAAAAACAATAAAATGTTGTACAAATTTCT